TGTTTTCGATTGTCTAAACGAAATCCTTGGGTATACGGTATCAATGGAAGCTGTGCGGCAGGAAACGTTCGGCACAGTGCCGCCTTGAGCTTTCGACGCACGTGGTTCATTATGTGATCACCTTTAAAGGCGAGTATGAGGAAGACGCTCTTCTTTGGTAATTTGCAGACAATATCAACCGGTGTCTTTAGTCTGCTGTGCACATCAATGAATTTCTCTGGATAGCCGTTATCCAGTAGCGTCCTTCGCAGAAAAGCTTCCTCCTTTTGGACAGTGTCAGAGGAACATATATTCCTGGCGCGATGACTGAATAGTCGTTCAAGGCGTTATCACGTAACTTGAATCCCAGGATTTTGGCGTTTAGCGAAGCGCTGCTAATCAAGTTACGTAACCCAGTCCTGTGTGCACAAAAGTTCCTTACACAATCAGTCAGACTGACCTGATGGACCTGATTTCCCACCCCACCCTCGGCCTCGCTTCCCCGACTATTGTCCGTTTTATCACTACTGTAGTTATCAAAACTTGCTTGTATAAATACCAGATTGTTTTACGTTGTAGCGTCTGAAGAGATTAAAAGAAATGTTAACATCTCGCAGTATTTATCTTTTCTCTGTTCTAACGAATTGGATAAAGGGGACAGAATGTTTCAAATAATAATCGTGTTGAGTAGAAAAAAATAAAATGTAAATGTGATGACGCCAGAGTACCGAATGTTTGACTGTATGACTAACCTCAGGACTAATGACGAGAAAACTTGGTTCAAAATCACGGTGTGAACAGAGACAGCAAAATTGCCCTGAACGTGGGTTGTTTATAGACGAGGTTCTATAAATAACGGTTTATAATAATACGGGAAATTGTGATCACGTTCACAGCTATGGGTACTCAAACGGTGAAGGTCCATGCTCATGGCGAAGGCTTACGCGGTAAAACACAGGCAAATATAAAATTTGAGATACACTATTGTGAATATGTGAGTAATGTACGCGATGCTCTTCGACGGATATAAAATCCTAGTAGGAGAACGTACGTGCTGCATATAAATGGGAGGATGCAAAACATTGTGCATAATTTTTATGTTGAAGATCAAGTGGTTGTGAAATTATTCCACTGTTATTGAATCCATTCCAGTATGATGAAGATCCAGCTTTACAATAGATAGGAATAGGGTGGAATTGAAGCATTTCCTGCAAACATGAACTGAATACTGGAAGTACTGTAGGTTAATTTCCACATTCTCTTTCATAATCATCAGCGCGAATTCCCTGAACCGAAGGAGGACTGAATTCGGTATCTTTCAGGCAGACTGCTCGCTCACTATTCACTTGCTTATCGAATAGGTGATAAAATTGTTGCATTGTTGCACTTTGTCTGTACGCGATATTGCAACACCGACCAGTTCAAGCTTATCGCAACTAACCAACATTCTCCGTCTTGCTAGTGGCTTCCACGAGTCAACAGTCAGCCAAGAGAACTAAAATCCGGACTGCTTGGTGCAGAATAGGCGATAAGATGCTCTTGGCGAATACAAACGAATACATTTGGTTGGCACATGATGAAATGACTGATACCCTTGGATTCTATCAGTGATCACCGTTGGAGTCCAATGATTTGTCACCCTGAAAGCAGTACACCTAGTCAAAGCAGATGCTCAATGCTTTCTAAGATTTGGTTGGTGGTAAAATCCCTTGAATCATTCACATATCAAAAGACATTGATGTCCAAACCTATATTCCCCACAAAAAGATGAACCCTAAAACGAGTCATTTATTGTTCATCTATCTCAACAAAGGTAGTTGCTGAAATAATGTCAGAGTGTTAAATAGTTATCATCATTCGCGATCAGCATTTTACACTTTTTGTGTTTTTCGTACCAATTCATGTCTCCCGTCAGTAACCTTGAACAAAGCATGTTTCCAAACCAACAGACATTTACCCGCATAATGGATAGTGCAACCTACAATAACCCCATTATTGTGCCCGATATTGTTCTCTTCCTGTACACCATTCGTCAAGCTCATCATGTTAACTTGAACTTGGAAGCTCAATTCAGTTCGTGACGGGAGTGGTTATTGCGTTGCCCAAAACATTAGGAGTGAAAGATATTATGAAAAAGTTAGTCGATAGTTCTCTTCAGAGTTTTAATGCAGTGCATACCACTCTTCAATGAATTCACATAACTTATATGCACATCCTAGGTTTTATCCGTATCTCACTAACAGAAAGCGAATTCAAGGATGCAAACGTCATACATGTGCATGATTTGTTATATCTAGTCTAGTTAGTTAGTACATGATGGTTTCAAGGTTTAGTTTCAAAAAGAAAGCCCACACTAGGCGTATTAGTGGACGCGAAATGAGGTTCCGTTTTCTTCCCCAGGATATTCAGCAGTTTACTTCTCTCTCATAATATAACTCTCCGGTTTGGGAAGCACAGGTAAAGATAGCAGGAGTACGTCAAGCTTCCCTGTTTGTGCTAGGTTTATTGTGGTTTTCACACTTGAATATTTACAAATTTATATTGCATTGCATTCTTTGAGACTACTGGTTATATGTCATCTACGAACCGTTTATTTACCTCATACCATATCTGTGATCGCCTAATTGAGTTGATGTTATATTCCTACTTCACGTCTACGTCTCACGCAACACAACATTAGCGGTGCATATTTCGACGTTGTATTCAAAATCTGTTACCCCCTGGCGCCAAGAAAATCAAGCATAATATTAGTTCCGAAATAATCAAAATAATAATCTATCAAGCTTTGCAACCCAACAGAATGAATGACAATCATAAATCAAGTGGTTCAGCTAACGGACATATGTCCGCGGGGAAACAATACCCCCAAAGACCAGTCGAACGGGATGCACATAGATGGACCGTACCTATGGGATGAGAAACAGACCCCTAGCTGGGTAATTTATTCGGCTTCACTCTAAGCGTTAACCCCGGGAACCAACTCGTCTGCCTAGTCGATAACGGATTTTCGAAATGTCGGGTGTGGAGATCAATGAGGGCTAAGAGTTGTTGTTGAACTCATTGTTGGTACAGACAAAATGTGAATTTTAATTTTATTAAAGAAAACTACCAAATTAGGGAGAAGTCTCGCTTCGTAGAAACGTTGATTTCCTGAGCGAATTGAAAAGGGATGCATTGCGCAAAGTTGACTAAAGTAGTAGTTGACATGAAAAGTTCACAACGTATTATACAGCTAGAAGTCGTAAACCACCTAGGATGACTTTTTCATCAATAGGCCCGAAGGTGTAGATTTGGATTTAGTTTACAGTTGGTTGCGAGAAGTGTAAACCGTTCAATGGTTAAGCTTGCATGGAGCTTTTGGTGAGTGTAAATAGCCTTGGTTCATCCTTGTCCGCGTTTTACTTAAAGAATAGATTCTTTGAAAGGTTGGCCCGTTGTTATGATTGGAGGAAATAATATTATTTATCAATTTCGGTTCAATAATTCATAGTCGTTGAAGTAATGGTAACGACCTCATTACTGCAAACCTTCAAAATGAGGTTTACTTAGAACCGTTGTAGCCGCACCAGATCGATATTGATTATTTTACTTCATCTTTATTTGAATGTCCCTCCTTCCTCATTCAGCTATTCGTTCAAAAATGAGTTCGGGTTCAGAGCAAAACGGTTCAGACCATTCTCAGAAGCCAAAATCCGTACTCAGTCGCCCGATCGGTGGCGTATCCATCTTTGGTGGAAGTAAGTTTACGATTTGCCTGAGTTGCTTATCTGTCCTTCAAACAATGAAAGCTGCGCTTTAACCGATTCCATGCGTTCTTTTGAGGTTCGTTGCAGAAATAAACCTGCAACGTCACAACAACAAAATGTATGGTAACAATGAGTATACAACTATGAAGTTGAAAGAATAACTGTCGCCTAAGTTCGGTTTATTTTTTTGTAAGCTTCATTATTGCCATAATCGTTTGTCAAACTGTATTAAAAAGAAACTAACTTT